TCATATGGATCTCTGGATTCAAATATAAATAATCAAGCTATAATAATAAATTAATTCTCTTATATGAAAAACACTTTTCTCTTCTTGAAAGTTATAAATCATACAATTATCTGTAATCTTTCATTTATTTTTTTTTATTAAATAAAAAGTAGATTTTAATTTCTTTTTGTCTAATAAAAAAAATTATATATACATGCATACATATACAATATGGTTATATATATATAAAATTAAGGCTGAATTAGTGCTGAAACAACTTTCAGATTAGCATGGCTAATTAATTAGCCAAACTCTGGCCCTATAGTTAATCTAACTCCTTCATTTGATTATTAATATATTCAGTATGGACTGTCATACTGGGCAAAAAATTATTGTGTTACTTTTTAAGCCATCTTGTGACTTAGTTTTGAGCAATACAGTGTTACCAAAGTAATAAATAAATATACAAAATGAAGAATTAGGTTGTTATTTTATAGACTGTAGAAAGATAGACAATAATTACAAAATTTCTGAGTTTTAAGTTATATTTATCCAGTTAAAGGACTTATTAGTTTAATAATAAAGAATTATTCTTGTTTACATTAATTCTTACTACTTTTTCAATTACTTTTCAAATGATTTTGCTACTTCTGGGAAAGTTTTTCATTTTCTCTTAAATCAACAAGCAACTCCACTAAAAGTCTGAAATAAAAGCATTCTAATTTTTACATGCTAATTTAGAAAAATACTTTAAACTTTATTTTCATTGAAATCATTAGTTGTATGATTTGGTATAAGTCAACTCAAACTTGCAGGACAGTCCAAAAATAGAAATAAAACCAAAACAAGATGAATCATTATGAAAAAAAAAAAATGAATGTCAAATATAAAATACTTTTTTCTTTCATTTGAACTTGTATTAATGATACTGGATATAAATAGTTAAGTTATATAGTGTTATATTTATCAAACAATGTCTCCAACATTTTGTAAATGTCTTTTGATGCTAAATCATTTTATTTCAATATGTAGCATTAGTTTTTAACATTCTGAATAAGATAACAAATTCTGAATTTTCAATCTAAATTTGAATGATATGAGGATTTGCTGCTAATTTATAAGTTAAATTCACATGAAAGCTTTCAATGTTCTCATGATATAACTGTTTGTTTAATTATCAGAATTATAACTATACAAAATCAGTAACATAATTAAATNCAGTAAAATGGTTAATTGATTAAAACAACACATCTTTTAAAATATATTAACCCAAATATCGCCATTAAAGTTATTCTTCAATTTTATTTTGTTCTTATTTGATATGTTTTAAGTGTAATTATAGAAATATGAAGATTTTTTATAAAATTATTTTATTAAAATGTCCATTTATATTTATATGACATTTTCAAATGTTTTAACATCTTTACTTGTTTCCGTAAGCCAGCGGTTCCCAAACTTTTTGATTAAAATCAAATTCTATGGCGGAGTCTCTTAGGCCTACCCTGTTGTTAATGGTGTTTAGGATTGATGTTATTGGGGAGTCTAGAAGTATGGGGCTGTCCATAAATGACACCACAGTAGAATGGGGCGATGAGGTTATGACAAGTCGGACAGTGTCGGACAAGAGAAATGAGAGGTTGAACTTCAATAAATAATTAATAAATAAATTAATGTTTTATTTCATTAAATTTTACGCAGTTTATACGTTATTATTCATAAAATGATAAAGATTTTGAGGGGGTTAAGTTTTGCTGGACGTCCGAAGAAGGGAAGGAGTTACGGAAACTTCTTCAAACTGGCACAATGAGGGGAGTAGGAGTAAAAGTCTTAAGAAAAATGCGGACATAATTTATAGACAGCCTCTAGACCAGGGGTAGCCAACAGTTTTTGCCCCCGGGCCGAATTGGAAAAAAAACTTTTTTCACGAGCCGAACCAGAGGGACCGATTTTGAGGTGGTTTGAGATCTCATTGTGGTGTCACCTCGTAGAGACTTAATTGTACCTAGAGATTACAGATACATTTTTCACATTATCGTGCTTTATCAACATTTTACGACGCTGTACTTCAGAGATTTGTAATGGAGGGTTAACTCTAAACGCACAGTGAGTTGTTAATCTTTTTTTTTTTTTTAGGCATAAGAATTTTTCATCGAGCTATTCGTACTTGAGTAGCTGATATTGAAAGTTTAATCGCGGTCCACATAAATTCATTAGACGGGCCGGATCTGACCCGTGGGCCGTATGTTGGTCATGCCTGCCCTAGACCAAAATTAACACAACATAAAATTACATATAAACATTTAATGAGACACCTGTGGTTCGTTTTTTGCACAGTTTTCTTACTTTGGGTTCAATTGATGATAATTGCAGACGACTATTTGATTCTGCTTTGAAGTGGTTTCTGTATTTTTCTACCTATATAGGCAGAGAATCATGCTTCACAGATTTACAAAGTTGAGAAAGCCTGCAATACGAAATTCAACTTGACAAATTTCAGAATGTAATTTCTAGTTTTCTTATTTTGATTATACTTTTCGTTTCTTATTTTTTAATTTCATTTAATTTTTTTTATTATTTTATTTTCCTCGAGCGGTCGCGGAGCACAGGTTGGGAACCACTACCGTAGGTGTTGTTGGATTCAACCGTAAAATCTCCCATCGTCTGTTCACATCCTCTCAGAGATTCAAGCAATAATCATATTTATGATACATATTTATTTATTTAATGCAAAATTAATATTATTAGACTAAGTTATTTTTGTCGTTCATTATAGTAACGCGTGAACGATTTCAAAAACAAACAAATGAATATAGAGGAAGAGAAATTCGAAAAACAACTGGTCTGTTAGAAGAAAGATGCAGCTTAGTTCAATTTTCCCGACATATTGAAATATTGCTTGAATTAACAAATAATCTACATAACGGATTGTGTAATACTTTTTGAAGAATAGATAATTCTTTATGTAAATCTGTGGGAAAATAAAGAATTAGATTGATGGAATAAGGCAACACAACATTTGGGTGATCAAGGGAAATGAAGAAAAAACAGAAAACTCCATGTCGCTCAGGGGAGGATCCACATAAAAGTTTGAAGCCCAGGGCCCTAACTTTTATTAGGTAGCTTCAAGGCACAACGCAAAATACGTAATTATTAATAAACATAGAACATAGACGTATAAAACAATACCAATTTAGAAATTTCTTGTTAAAGTTAAAAATTGGTTGTCATGTCACTGGCTAGCACATAACTGTTTGACACTTACATATAGTATATAAACATTAATCATAGAAAGCCCTAAAATTTTTGTGAAACACATTTCTCGCAATCTAATTTATAATCGTCTTTTCGGAGAATTTTTTAAACAAGATCGAAAGGAAATCAGTTAGTACTTTGACTGAAATTGCTTGCAGTATTTAAAGACAGACGGCTGGATGACCGAGCGGTCAAGGTGACAGCCTACCGCTCTGTTGGACCCGGGATCGAATTTCCCACCTATCCCCAGGAATTTTTGGGAGGTAATCCGACCGGATAAGTTGTCCCTCACCACATTTAATATACAGTACAATAATTTGGCGACAATAGTATGCATACAGAAACTTAGAACTAATTCTTACTCACTAACTTATAACCAAAGTGGGTAGAAGATTATATGAGAAGGTAGATAGAAAAAGAGCAAGGTCAAAATACCCGGGATTCTCTTTATTTCGTGAACACTGGATGGGCATTACCTCGGATTATGCAGATACACCAGACGTGAATCTTTTTCTTCCCTTTGTTTAAAATCGGGACTTCCGTCCAACGTTGACTCTGGATTTTCTATTTTTCTAACGTAACTAAAATGTCTTTCCTTCGGAATTATTCAGTCTGAAGTAGCCCCTAGTCGCCTACTCGCGATCTGGAGCGCTCTTCTCTTCAAGTCTTACTCCCACAAAGGTCCAGTCAAGATTAACCCTTTTTTTTTTTTTTTGTCTTATCGGCCCTCGGGCTTTAACTCTCCCATTGTCTTATGTTCTTGGAACTGGTGGTGCATTGTCTTCATTCTTGGGATTGGTGGTCCCACCCAAAGGGAAGGGAGGAAGTGAAAAGAAAGTTCTAGAAAGACGGAGAACAAAAGGCAATAAGGAAATAAATGTATAAAAATTGGTTTCTTTAATCTTGGTATTTATTTTGGCGGGTAGGATTAAGTAGTAATAAGGTGATCGGGTTTTATTTTTTTCTCAGACGATCTATCGTTGCCTTTTCGGCGCCCCCACTATGACTGCGCCCGGTGCGGTCGCACCGTTCGCACTGCCCTAGGGCCGCCCCTGTCCGTTATAAAGGAGTTCATTACGGAGAATGAGATTTTTATAATTTTCCTACACAGTACTTTTGGCAGGACCGACAGGGAATAACATGAAGTTCGTTATTATCAGGTCTGCAATATCGAGCTGCTATAGTCATATGCAAAGTGATATTCTGTGTGTTTCGTACTAACAAGTATTTTTACACAATAACAATAAATAAACTTGTCTGTTGACAAGATTTTTCAAGAAATAGGAACTTGAGATTATCAGCATAGAGACATTGAAGAAACATAGTTTACGCATTTAATTATATATTTTGAATTGATTTATAATTGCCTGAAATTGTTAAAGTTTATAAAATTTAACGCGATTATATACAATGTACACTGTACTTTATATTTAACACTGTAATAACTACACTTTTTATAACCAGGAATATTTCATTTTTGTCCAGCCTGATAATTATATGTCTATGAGTCTATTGTAGTTTTATAATAGTTTTAATAATAATAATAGTATGTGTAATGTTTTTAAAGATGATGCCCAGTTAATTTCATTAATGATTTAAAAATTCGTGTTTATTTATCAAACATGGACAATTATTGACTATGAAATTCTGATAGTTACGTGTTGGTATTTTCATAAATAAAGTTTCAAGTAATATATAACCATCTGGTAGATACAGTTTTAAAATAAAATATATCACTAAATATATTTAATACAAGATCACAAAAATTACCACACATATTGTTAAAGACAATTTTGTTTATTAACTGCAATATAGAGTATAAGTTGTTCAGTAGTTCATTCTTAGAAACACTTTATTGGATTCTCCATTCCTGTTAATAAACAATAAACATTAATATAAGATATATAATTATAATTTAATTTTTTCTAATTATTAAGCAAAATCTAAATATTTTTAAAAATACTGCTACGAAGCTTTTGGAAAAAACGTGATAATTGTAACTTTCGTTAGAGAAATGATACCACGTTCAAAAAATATATTTCGTTTAAAGCCTTGATACCACTAGTAAGTTTCCAGTGATAACGGCAAAGAATAGCAGTGGTTACTATGAGAAAATCCTGAAAGGCATTTCTGTACGGTCTTCCTGAGCCGCTAAGAAAGATTCCGACGTGTTGAATATTTGCTGCTGCAGCTAAGATTCGCCGCTTTCGATAACCAATAAATAAAGTGAAAGTATAGTTTAAATATGATGACAGAACACTAAAATGTATCCTTTGCATGGAAGTGTAATAGTGCATCTAATTAGCTGATGTATTAGCGTTTTAAATTGCTCTCTTTCAATGGCAAAATTCGCCGCTATCGGTTGCCGCTGACTCTGGAAACCATGCATTAATATAATAATATATTCTTTAATACTAGGCTTGATTTGGCTAGAGCCATGATAATTCGTTTTCAATTCTGCTGAAAATTCCCTTTTCTCAGTTGATTAGCATGAATACCGTACTTTCAGTCAAGATTTTGACTGGAATGATCAAGGTTGATCTTAATATATTTTTACATATCTTAATTTCGAAATGGTTCGTTTTTCCACTTAATAAAGTTAAAAGGTATTGATATGCAAAAACGAGTGTGGGATAATCATTCTGTACTGTACATACTGTATTCACTGTATTAATAATGTAAATAGGGCAACACGTAGCCTATATTAATAATAAAAATCCTAGATAAAGGAGCAACGTGAGGTAAGCTACCTACAAAAATTTCTGGGTATGATACTGATGTAGTTATTTATGCGTGTTGCAAGTTTCATTCGCGTATTAAATTTTAATTGTAATTTTATAATAAAAAAATTAGATCACTCAAAGTCTCTGGAAATTTCCCGACGGTCCCATCCGCCACTAGTTGAAACCGATACTTTTTTTCTTTTTAAACTCTTTTCGCCCTGTGGGAACTAAGAGGGCTTCTTTTAGCAAGCCCATTATGGGTTCGTCCAGCCTATAATGGGGCAGCCGGGTGATGAGGGACGGTGCCCCGACATATCCGGACGGGTTATTGAACAATATGAACAGTATCGGTTGCAAGACGGCTGGATGGCGGAGCGATCAAGGTGGCAGCCTACCGTTTTGGAGGACCCGTTTTGGAATTTCCTAAAGCTGCAACAAAACACACTTTAAGACATCTGTGATGCTTGACGGGAGAATTTCTAGTATATATATATTAGCGTATCATCTATATTCAGCATATCATCTACATTCATATGAATATAGATGATGTGCTGAATTATATACAAAACAATGTAAATTTTAAAATTCGTGAAAGTCAATTGAGGATGGGCAGATATAACAGCCCAAACTATATATTGCCGTGATTTGTTAATCAAACGTTCTATTACGTGTAAAAACATTTCAAATAATGAAGTGCATTTAAAAAACTTTATTATTTCTAGTTTAAAAAAATAATTTTACAACCGAAAAACCTGAGATTAAAACGATATGTTAGTTGTGAACATAGGATTATTAACTATGCTAATTTATTTTTTGTAACTTAATTAAATTCATTTTTTTAATATTTAGAAATTGAAACCGTTATTTAAGTCGATCTCCATAAGATACAACTGAAACAATGTTCACATTATTATGCAAAATAATATATCATATACTTGAATGATATTGATATGTTTAATAATGAATTTTTAGTTATTACATGAATATTATCAGATCAGATTATAGAACTAATAGTTTAAAATGTTTGTTTTATAATAGTCACTGTAAGTTAAACATCAAAATACTTTCGTATATGAAATGTTAACAATAAATCTTACTGTTTTTGCATTCTTTTTCAGTAATGCATTTGTTGTATAGAGAACAGTTATGAAGGTATCCAGGTTTGCAATCGCAGCTGGGTATTGGTACGAAGGAATCAAAGTAAACAATACCGCCGTAAGACATACATAATCGTTCACCTCCTGAAGCACTATTGAATTTGGCATTCGGATCGGTACAAAATTCTGAAATTAAATCATTTCAATGATGTATAATAACTTAGGATATATTAACTAAAATTATTTAAAGTGCCACTATATCACAACAAAATATATTTCGAAAAATAGTCTCTTCTCTTGTGACAAAATTTTAATTTCATTGAATGCCTCATCAATTCTTTTTAAAGATCGATGTTTCTGTTATCTTTTGTTAATTTATAACTCGGAAATAAAAAGAGATATTCGTTATTTAAAATCTAAATTTTTAAAAAATTATAAATTATTTGAATGGTTTTCGCGTATCGTTTTGTTATTATTATTATTTTTATTTTTTTTATCTTGGGGTTTCTCTACTTCTGAATTAGATTATGAAAAAAATAATAGAATTTAATAATAAAAATATCTATGAGAAATTAAGAGGATATTTGAAAATGTTTTCTATCGATTACTTATAAAAATAACTTGATTAAACAAATTAAGTTGATGAAAATATAACTTAAAATTTTAATTACAATGGAAAGATGTATTTAACTAAAAAAGTAGTTAAAGACATTAAGTTCAGATTTAAAAATTTATTTGCTTCATTAATGCAAAACCAGGTTTTTTTATGTTTTTAAAACAATTTCTTTGTAATTAGATTCCATTATTTACGTTGATACATCCTACATTATCATCTCGCAGATGCCGAACAAAGTTCGATTGTATAATTTCTCTTCTTTTATAACACGTTATATAAAATTTCTGCCTTTGTTGTTTTGATACTATTTTATTTAATAAAGTATTAGATAATATAATTTTTGAGTTAAAAATAAAATTTCGTTATTATTATTTCTTGGCTAAATCTTAATTAATGAATACGAACAGAAATTTATTTCTTATTGTTCTTTAGAGACCGAGAAAAGTTTATTAACAATTTAAAAATATAATAAAATGTAAACTTCGAAAATTTATTTAAAAAATGTTCCAAATGAGACAATAAAACTGTCTTTATCTTGCCCTTTCTACACCTCTCAGGAAATAAATCTCACGGCGGAAACAACCTTTCTTTAGAGGCATCAATATTTAAAACGTTAAAGTCATTCTTCTGACGTTTGTAATTTTTAAAATAAATTTTATAAGTTTTTATTTACTGTTCTGATCATTTTATCAAATATTTTACTAATGAAATATATTCTAAAAAAAAATTAAAACTACAAAAATATGAAACTTCGCTTACGTCGTACGCAATCTTTTAATGCCACACATTTTTTTCCTTTTCGCGCGAAGTCCCATTTACACATACATCTAGGCCCATTGCAATGTTCGGGAATATTTTCCGAACATTGCTTTTCGCATCCTGTCAAACGAAATTCCTCGTTCGGATCCGAACATACTGAAACTGAAATTATAAACGTTTATTTTTTTTAATAAAATGAGAAATATTAATACAAATAGCCTTATAACTGTACTATACATCATAAGCACTACTCTAAGATATACTGCATCTTAAAATCAGAATATTTAATTAAATCCAATCATATTTTTACTTTGATTTCTATGCCAGGACCAAATCGTTGTTTGTACACTATTGTCGTTTTAAAATAAAATTAAAATATACTGTATTTATTTTTTAAAATAAACAGAACTTTTGTAAATTAAACCGTGATGCAATTTTTAATTTATCTAAATATCAATTAATCTGTTGATGTCAATAAACAAATTTGACGTCTGACATACATATCAACTCCATATTTTATATTTATAACCTAAAAATATAACTAATTGACTTGCTTGGGGTCAGTTAAAAATTATTGATAAACGTGTTAGAACATCGGGGTCGATCTGTATAAATATTGGGGGAGCCAACGATAAGAAAAATTGTCTCATTGTCGAGTTTTGTATACAAAATAAGGTATATGGGGTATTGTGTAATTTGTTTGGTATGATATAAAATAAAAATATATTGAGAGGGGACAATTTTCTAATGTAAAAATATTGAGGAGAATACTTCCTGTCTGTCTCATATGAATCGATATCCATGTTTTCGAAATCTATGCTTCATCTTTAGACTGTTAATTTGTGAAATATTACCCTGGCAATTTAAAATGGAATATAGTTTACATTGAAAATGTTTATCAGTAATTCTTAACCGACTCCTACAAAGTGAGTTAGATATATTTTCAGCTCATGAACAAATTTGTTTTATCAAGACAAGGATTGGCAATTAGTATAACTGCTGACCGTTGCGGCAATATATTTGTAGTTATTTTTCTTCTCTAACGGAAATACTTTCATTACGAAATATTAACATTTAGTATCATCAAACAATGAAAAAATTGTAACTTTTTAAAATATTAATATTCAAGCTTGTTCCGTTTTAATATCAATTGAAGGATCTAAAGCATAGTGTCGCTTTGTTACGAACTTATTAAGATTGTTTTACAAAAAAATTACAGCACAATTACATTTACATTTACCTGTGTTTTGTAGGCATACATTATGTTTAACATGTAATGATGTTAAACACACACGGTGATGAAGGAAAACTATACCCATTACTTAAAATATAACCTCTATAGTAAGAAGTTTACCGTAAGTTCTTATTAGATAAATTAGTGACGATATTCTCATAAGCATGTAAACCAAAAATTTTTTCCTTCTTTGTTTTAAGACTGTAATTTATGTTTAAGAAAAATACAAATATGTTTGAAATAATACAACTAAATATCTACAAAACACAGGTAGACGTAAATATAATTGTGCTGTAAGTTTTTGTAAAACAATCTTAAGCAATATTGTAGCCCATATACTTATAATATTAGGTAAATCTAAGAATCGAAATAAAGAGGCATTTTGACACCAGAAATGCATCTTTGTAATACGTAGGCCTATACCAAATAAAGTTTTGTTTATTTCAGTCATCTCCAACGTCTACTATTTGAAAAGTCCGTAACAAAGCCACACAACGTTTTAGATTCTTCAATTTTTAAAATGTATATGATATATTTCCAGAATTTTTAGTGTTGTATTCCTCTTACTGATATAAAGATGTTACTTTACAATCTACAAAATTCCATTTGTAATTTAAGATTTTTCTCTGATTTGATTATAAATTGATCGATGAATAATCATAAAGGATCCTGCACAATCCTTATGGGTTTTAATTCTCGGTGAAATTGTTTGAAATTTTAGTGTTATAGTTTTTAACTAACTGATTAAACTTTCAATGGGCACGAAGTTTGAAAATGGCTATTTTTTTTTTTTTGTTTTTTGCTATAACCATTCGAATATATAAGAGGTGTACTGTACGAGAGACTGGGGCAAGTAGTCAGCGTTTTTAGAATTAGAACTTTTTACTTTTTTTCTTTTTTATAAAAATTACAGAAAATTTGAAAAGATACTTAATTGAAAGCTTCAATTGTAGATCAGCTATAATTGGATGGGATGGACTAATAAAGTGTTATTTAGTTCTACAGTGTCAACTTAGGCAAGTTGTCACTACACAAAGTATTTAACTTCGAAATTGTTCAGTTTTAAGAAAGTTGGCTGAAAGAAATAAGCAAGAGCCAAGTTTGTCATAAAATTTTCCTTAGAAAATATTTTAAAATAATGTTTGCCTTTAAAAAAGTAAACAGAACATTTCTCCTCAACTTAGGTAAAAAAAAATAAATAAATAAAACGTATGTTTTTTATCTTAACATAAAAAATAAGAAATAACAACTTTAATCAAAAACGTTTCTTAAATCAAAAATAAGAATAACCTTAAAAAATTATTTAACTTAAATAATGAAGGAGCAAACGAATTTGAGAGGAAAAGTGTGTGGGTTGGGGGCCGTCAGAATTTGATTACGCAAGTTTAGGGTAGGGTCCTGCCACTAGGTGTGTTTTGTCGGACACATCTCCGATTTAGACAAAAAACAAATAGTTAAAGCACGAGGGTAAGAGTCACTCCGAAGTCCAGGAATGAGCCTCCAGGAGGATGAATGCAAAGTCAAATATAAATGAAAAAGAAGTTTATTATATTAAAAAAATGTACTGAACAACGTTATAAAATCTGATTTAGGAATTTGGCCTATCTCTATCTATAAAACGGGGAGAACCTAATGGGGGATATCTGAACTGCGCGACTCACAACATACCAGGAAAAGAGTTGTCTTCTCTTTCTTTTCGTCTTCTTGTTCCTTTCTTTGGTGAAGGACCACTAGGTCGGTTGTCTCTTTTCTGGTCAATCTCCTGTCCAGCCAGTCCAGTCAGTCTCAATCCTCTCTCACTATTCCAATTCTTTTTCACCTTCTCAATTCTGTCTCACTCCTTCAAATCTTTCTCACTCTCTGATTCTATCTTTTTCTGTGTTCATTTCATCACTTCTTTTTTTGACCAAACATGCTTTAGTTCCGGAGGAAAGTGAGGTAATTTGTAAAATGCATGATTGGTCATCTATTGGTCCTCCTCCTCTCTTGTTAACGCAGAATGATGTGTGTCCATGTGACATGGACTGCATACCATCGGTCATATAACACCGTCAAAAAAGGGGAAAACGACCAGCATCCCCTCATGTTTTCCTTCGCATGTTGTGAGATTTATAACAATTAATTGATAAGTTTTTTGTTCTAATTTGTTTTTCTAAATTATGTTAAGTCGATATTACAAAAATTTTGGAAAGGGGTCCCTAAAATTAGAAAAATAGGCGAAATTCCTTTACACCTTTACTTGATAGATAAACAATTGATATATAAATAATTTCGATATCACGCAGCTTCTCTTCAAGATGTGGGTCTAAAGGGTCTAAAGGTCTTGTATATAGACCTTTGGATAAATGGGTCTAAAGGTCTTGTATATAGCTAGCTAACAGTTTCTTAGACAGAACAAAAAAAGTATATAAAATAAACAGAGTTTAAAATACAAAAATACAATTTCTAACTAATTAATTAAATAATACATTATTAGAAAAAGAGTTAAAATAAAGTAATTAAAACTAAAATTATACCGATAATGTAGTATAAATGACAATTCACAAATATATAGTGTATAGATAGATACAATAATAACAAAATTTTGTGGGAGGGAAATGATGGATTTCACAAGTGTATCACTCTTCAAATTTGAAACATTCAGAAATATCAGTGCTTTCCTCCAAATTTTCAGAATTAATTTAACTCGATTTGTTTTTTTTTTGTATAACTGGAATTTCGATAATTTTTTAATTGACCGAAATTCCGTATGGCCAAGACGGTTAAGGCATTAGTCTACCCCTCTGGAGATCTAGGCCCGCTCCTAGATCCGAGTCTTCAAGTCCTTTTGTGGACCTCCCATGAAATATTCCCAGGAATTTTTCGTAGGTAATGCCGGACTCTGTCTCTCATCACCCAGCTGCCCACATTGTGAGGCTGGCCAGATAACTATGATTGAAAAGGTCATAAACTACAGAAATTAGCAAAGCAAAAGTAAAAATATTTTCGATCAGTTATTAAGGCTAATCTTGAGAATAGCTCGAGCCGTAATATTCAATTCATCTTCAATAAATTATCTGCATACTATTTATTAACTTTTTAAAATTTAAATTGAATTTAAAACCTAAAACCTTTTTATTATACAATAGATTATTTGTATAAAGAATCTATATTGGAATTTTATGATATTCTCATTAAAAAATTGTAACATGTAGGCCTAATCGAAATAATCGAATAATCTTTATGAATCTTAATATATTAAAAATTTAAGTAATTCTTTAAAATATAGAATTATATACATATTCAGTTGTAAATTTTTAATATAATCGAAATTTTTCTTACCATTTGCAGGTTTTCCTTCAATAAAAACGAAAAATATAAGTAACAACTGCGACTTAATTAATAGCTTCATCGTGTTCTATAAGAAGAATCGAATTAATTCAAAAAGCTGAAACAGAATACGATAAACGTCATTTCCGGTATTTTCAATTGATTGAATTTCCGATTCAGATAATCTTACTGGTAATACTAAAGAATCATATTTTTAATATTGAAATATTCCAGTTTTGAAAAACTATTGTTATCAAATTCAAATTTCATCGAAGGAAAATGTTTTAAATAACAGGATTTATTTATCGATTCTTTAAAAATAAATAAATTTTGAGTTATATAATCATTTAATTTATAATTTCTTAAAATTTGAATCGTCTGAAATATTCCCAATTAGAAAGAAATGTGAAGTAAAGTGACAAACTTCTGTTTTATGAGTTAGAAATGACATTAGAAAATTAATCAAAATCATCTGCTTGAGTATTTAAAAAGTTTATAAAGAAAATAAATAATTAATTAACCGTGAATTTATATTTTATATCATCTTATTAAACTTTTTAATGTTATTGTAGACCTGTTAATTATGCACAGAGGCGGATCTGCATAGGGATTAATAGGGTTTAAGCTCTGAGACCCCAAGTGTCAAGGGCCCACAAAAATTGAATCATTATCATACATTTTTAATACTTTTTCATTAACAATGAGCACTTATCGTATAGTAAAAAAAATAATTAATATTAATACTATAATAATAATGGTAGTTTATAGTATTATTTGTATTAACAAAAAATGGGGCACAATTGGACTTCAATAAGCCTAGGCCCATAAAAATCTAGATCCGTCCCTGATTATGCATTAGCAATTATAGCGATATATTCCCGAAGTTCAAATATCTATGCACAGAAACCATTATTTCACCTAGATTAAGTAACAAGAGTGGTCAAATTATGTGCTTACATACTTGTACAGTACATACAAACTACAAATTGTGGAAAAACCCACAATTTTATTCGGGAATTTTTTGAAAGAAAATTCATTTTTCGTTTTGAAAAGGAAATTTATTTAAATCTCAAAAAAAAAAAACTTTTTCCATTTTATTACCGGAGGATGAGTGCAATTCTCTTCCCGAAGTCGTTTCCTTTCCCAGGGAACTCAGAATGTGTCACTAGGGACTACAACAAAAAATTCACTATTAATGGAAAACGACAACGTGACTTGGAAATAAAGAGAAGACCAGAAGGCAGTGGCGTACCGTAGTGGGGCGGCAGGGGCAGCCCGCTCCGGGCGGCACTTTTTGGGAGGCGGCAAAATTACCTTTTAGGGGGCGGCAGAATTTCACAATAAATAATAATATCTTATAAAAATTTGATCCATCCTAATCTATATTTGCGTCGCGCCTACGATAGTGCTATCGTCCGGACAGTCCGGGAATCGGACCACCGTCCGTGTGTTCACACGGACGGTGGTCCGATTCCCGGACTGTCCGGACGATCATTTCATCCGGACTGTAGTAATCATTTCATCCGGGAAATTCCTGTGTAACCTGTTGACCTTTTTTTTCGTTTTTTGTTTTTTTTTTTTTTTTTTGCTTGTACGCCACTAGTATCCAATAGAGCTATTTTAAATTAAACTAGGACGGAATTTTTCATTGCTTGTTCTGTGACAAAACTGAATCTTAGTCTTTTAAATTAAAATACCTAAATAAGGGGAGACGAAATTTTCCTCCGCCCCGGGCGGCTGACACACACGGTACGACACTGCCTGAAGGAACAGGGAGAGGAGCGAAAACGTATCAAAATATAAAGCGATATTTTTAAATACATTTTATAACATGAATAAGAACAGAGATTTCACTGTGCTATTTGGCCTGAAACCGCTACGTCATTTTTATAGCCTATACTTTTTATGAACTGTCTTCGGTGAGCTGAAATTCGCTTGATTTTGAAATAATTACTGCTTCTAACTGAGAAGAAGCTAAGTAAGCAAATCAATAACATAATCTATTTCATATGGAATGGTCTATGCTTGCCTTTTGTTTGTTTACTTAGCAGCTTGCTACTTAGAAGCAGAAAATGCAACCTATATAGAAACGAGCAATTATTTGTTGTGACATCGTCACAATGCCTGACTACAAATTTATTTAATTTAAAATATATGCTCCTATACATCATACTTTTCCGTTAGCAATGAAGTCGTGTCGGTCATCTATCTAACTCCTTTCGGGGGAAAATTTTTGAATAACTTTTTTTAACATTAATTATACAGTATTTATTTTTTTTGTAACTGGTGAGGGTATTTTACGTAATTAAACTTACTCTGTAATATCTTCTTAACTTTGATGAAGTTTTTGTAAAGACAATATATATACGAGTCAATAAACAGAAGAAAATTCGATGTTGCATTTTTATATTGCTTTATTTCTTAACAAAACATGTACAATACCTTCGTAATAAAATGTGTCATTTATTGTATAATATCATATTTATTCGAGAGATTAATGTCGAACAGATAATTAACGAAATATAATTCCTATAAGGAATACAAAAATATAACGAATTTCTCACAAAATAAAATGGTGCAGGACATTTATATGGCATCATTTTTTCTTCAATTCAGTTTACGATCTAGGCTGTAAAAAATAATTTGAATTGTTTAATATTTAAGCATTTATATTTAATATAAATAACAAATTAAAAATTCATCAAACTTATCGTAAAAGTTATATTTAAAATTTCTATTATTAACTACGTTATTAAAATAGAAATATTTACAATTAAACATATTTTTATATTAAAATTTTAATTTTTTATGCTTTTCTTAACGACAAGGTTAAAAGAATGTTTTTATATAATAATTTTGACTAATTATAGAAAAGAGTGCAAGCGATTGCTAATTATTGCAGATCTCACGAACAAAAGTAGTTCATTTCAAATCTTCGGTTTACATTTAAAATTATATGATTTTAAAATAATATATAAGAACAAGAATTAGTAAATTGCAAAATCAGTCAACTACAGAAATTAGTTATAAAATCTTTAAAAAAATCAAATTTAGTAACTAATATGATATTTTAAAAAATCGATACTAATTTCAATATTTTAATGATTAACATAAATTCACATTCATAGACGGTCGAAGCTGGCATCTGGTCCCAAAAATGATCAATAAACGATAAATATAGACACCGGGTAGACCAAGAAAGTGTAGCAACGTGACAGAAACATTTCTGTCACGTTGCTACACTTTCTTGAAAACTCGCTGTGTGCGGCGAGCATTATCTTGCTGTAAAATGGCTGTTTGTATCCCTGCCATGAAAGGCTACATGTGAGGATTCAGGATCTTTTGAACTGGTTTGCAGTCAATATGTCTCGTACCATTACTGGGAATGACTGACTGTTGTAAAAGATGGCTTCCCACATCAGAACGCCAGCAGTGGGGGGCTGTGTGCCACTCAACAGTATAGATTTGAAATGTTCATCACTAGTCCTCAACCTACTAATACGATTGCTCTTCGCTAAAGACGATAAGTTGTCAGTTCATACTTTTCTATCAAGGCAAACGAACCCGACGATGTTTGGAGTGCTAATGGCAAATTGCCTCTGCTAGTTGTCCATCAATATAGGAGAAGACACAAGGTTCTGTAGTGAGGCTTCCGTCTGTCTCTGAATAATAGACAGACGTCGTTGCAACTGTTTGTGCTTGTCTCATAATCTGAGTATAGTCATATTTGTCTAATGGGACGAAAGATCATTGTTGTTATTATTAATGATTGTAAATATTAGACTATAGTATAATTTTAGAATGTACTACGCACATCAACAGAATCAAGCGAATGTCTTTGGTTATTCTAGCAAGATTGTGAATATTTACCCAAAGAATACAAGGTATTTTAGCAAGGTTTTGCCTGTGAAATTAATTACTGGAGCTTGTTTGACTAAATTAATACTGCAAGAACTGGAATCGTTACGCCTAAAAATTGAAAATATGGATGGGACTACAATAATGAAGTAAATCTGCAAGGTGCCCATTCCGGTGTCCATAGACGAATTTTAAATCAAAATCCTAGAGCCATTTTGGTTCCCTGTTCGTTTATTCTTTAAACCTTGTTATCAACGATGCTTCTGAAGAAATCATTAATATTTTTTCACTGTTTGTATTTTTCCAGTTCCAATAACAGATGAAGTGTCTTTAAAAATATGATCTGAAAAAATGTACGTAAATGGAAAGTTGCATCGATGCATTAAAACCCATTGAGATATAATTTAGAAGTATGTGATGCACTAATAGAAATTTATTTTGTTGAACAGAGATTGCAATACCAAAACCAAAAGGAAATCGCTAGCTTTTAAAATATCTGAATTTAAATTTTTGTGCGGAGTTGTTATTCGGTATAAAATTAACAGCATCAAAATTATTAAAAAGCTCAAATACAGTCTTATGGGATTATATCAGAATTTCAGAAAACGTTAGTTTATCTTTAGAGGAATGTCGTTCAACGGATTGTAGCAAATGTTATGCTATGTTAAAGAAATAGTTATTGTCATGGAAACATCTCCAGATTTCGAGTTTGAACTTCGGAATTGGGCGTAAAAAGGATTACGATGGAGAAGCTATAACAATTCTTGACCCCTTTAAAAACTTTGAAGTAAGCTTTTTAATTATTTAGTGGATATTTGTATAAATTCCAAGAAGAAAAAAAATCTTCTCAATTGGAAAATCACAATAAATTATTTCAGATTTTATATGATATTCCACTGTTAGCCAGCCGATAAAGATTCTGAAGTTTATTGTTTTTTTAAATTGTCAGGACTTACATACTGGATTGACAGTTGATAACAATTCTGATATAGAGCCATTCAATTTATTCAATCAACTTTTAATTGTTAGGAATACGTTTAAAAAGAAAATATCATCACTAAAAGTTAATTGAAATTGAATTGAAAATAATTGAAATTTTTCCAAATGTTTTTATATTATTGAGAATTCTTTGAATCCTTTCTGCGTCCATTGTTAGTTAAGAACGATATTTCTCAAAATTAAAATAGATTAAAAATTATTTGCGTTCAACAATGGCGCAGGAAAGGTTGACATAACTTTATATAGTGTCGACTGAACAGAAAATTCAACAAATATAAATTT